GTCGTGTCGTAAGCTTTCTCTAAGTCGAAAAATACAGATAGGCAGTGCTGTTTATGAATGAAGGCATCCCTGACATAGGATTCAAATGCTACCAGTTGGTCAGTTGTCGACCGGCCAGACCTGAATCCAGCTTGATGACGATCAAGGAGGCCATTGTATTCAAGGTAATACGTAAGGCGGCGATTCACCATTTTTTCGAACACCTTGCCCAAATAGCTGGTCAGCGCTATAGGCCTGTAACTAGCAGCAAGTGTGGCTTCTTTTCCTTGTTTAAGGATGGGTATGATAACTGCCTTTTTCCAGGTCATGGGTAGACCTGGAAAATGGGTAGACCTTTTTCCAGGTCATGGGTAGACCTGTATGGCCCAGAGGACCATACACTGTTGAAAAGAATGAGGATGACGTCAAGCGTGTCTTCGTGTAGGTGTTTCAGCATGCCGTAAGTAATCCTGTCCGAGCCAGCTGCTGAGCTGCCGCACTTTGCCAGTGCTGCCTTTAGTTCACCTATAGTAAAGGGGGCATTGTACCCTCCCGCCGATGGCCTGTCATCACGAATAGGTTTACGTTCCTCGGCAAGTTTGTATCGCCTAAAGGAGTCTGTATAATGTGCAGAGCTGAAAATATACTCAAAGTGTAGGCCTAAGGCATCTGCCTGGTGTTCCAGTGTATCACCAGCAGTACTAACAAGGGGCATCGAATGAGTGCTGTGCCCTTGGAGTGCTCTTACTCTGTTATAGACCTTATGTGTGTCAGTGTAAGAGTTCACGGATGAGAGGAAGGATTGCCAGCTCTGTCGTTTAGACTCTCGTCGGACACGTCTACCGTCTGCTTTTGCACTCTTAAAATTCACCAAGTTTTCGACTGTAGGATACCTGCGGAATTTTGACCATGCTTTGTTTTGATTGTCACGAGCATTTTTGCACTCAGAGTTCCACCAAGGTCGTCTTTTGTTCCGTGTATTGTTAGATGTATGTAGGATGGATTGCTCTGCGGCCTGTACAATGTGTAGTGTGACCAACGCTTCAGATTCATCGATGCCTAGGGTTTCAATTGATGAGCGCGATAGTTTTGAGAGTTTTCGGAATTTCGTCCAGTTCGCACCCTGTTCTCGAAACCTGGTTACATTCACAGTCATTGTACTCGTATTTCCTTTGTATTTTAGACAAACAGGAAAATGATCACTTCCATAGAGGTTATGAATTACAGCCCATTCAGTGGTTGCCAAGAGTGAAGGAGATCCGATAGCAAGATCTATTGCTGTGTATGAGTAGTGTGCTGCGTTAAAGTATGTTGGCTCTTTTTTATTAAATATACAGGAGCCGGAGGACAACAGAAAGTTTTCGATTAGGGAGCCTCGAGAATCCGTTCTTCTACATCCCCATAAAGGGTGGTGCGCGTTAAAATCTCCGACCAACAGAAATGGATGCGGAAGCTGGTCGATGAGCGTTTCAAATTCTTTAGTAGAGAGTTGGTGGTCTGGAGGGATGTATAGTGAACACACGGTTGTTACTCGTCCAAAAATTAGGGTTCGTATTGCCACTGCTTCTAAGTCAGTAACCAGAGTGAGGCTTTGAGACGGAACTGCTTTCTGCACCACGATAGCGACACCACCAGATGAATGGGAAGTGCCCTTTCTGTCCTTTCGGTATACCACATACCTTTTCAATAGGCTAGTGTGTGTAGGTTTTAGGTGTGTTTCCTGTAAGCAAAGTATGTTTGGTTGGTGTTGTGCAAATATTTCATAAATGTCGTCTAAGTTCTTAAGTAAGCCTCGGCAATTCCATTGGATAATATTTTCGGCAGCCATTTTTATGAATGAGGAAAAGAGCGTGACTTATTCACACTTCGCTGCCTTTATTAGGAGGCTTAACTGGCGGGTGTCTTTTCCCTCTGAGGCGATCTATGGAGCCCCGCCTCACTTGGGAGGATTCCGTCAGCATCTTAGACGCTGAGAATCCTGGTGTCACTTCCATTGCCTCCGGCGGACCCTCAGAAGCTAATGGAGGTTTGTCAGAAGAGACAGGTGTCTCAGTTGTCTGTGTGGTCCCTGGGGTCTGATGAAGTTCGACCTCCGGGACGTGAAAGGTTGGTGCAGCCTGTGGCTGCTTGGTGGGGGGCAGAGATGTGCACGCATCAGCAAAGCTGTATTGCGTGCCCACCGTCACTAGACGCCGCCCGGCCCCCCGGCGCGCTGCGTCAGCGTACGTTCTTCCGGAGAAGAGTGACACCTTCTTCCGGGCTTCAGAGAATGTTATGTTTTCCATTACTTTAATCTGGATGATTTCCTTTTCCTTTTTGAAAATTTCACATGTCCGCGAGCATGCTGCGTGCGGCCCGTGACAGTTGGGGGACTCTGTTTGCGTGAAAGTACAGCTCTCTGTTGGGTGCTCATGATCACCACATTTTGCACATGTTTGTTTTCCGCGACAGGTATTCGACCCATGTCCATATTTCTGGCATTTGTAGCACCTTCTAGGGTTGGCTATGTAGGGGCGGACCTTGCAGTGAAGGAACGCAGCTTTCACGGATTCTGGCAGAGTGGAGCGGTTGAATGTAAGTACTATATGAGGCGTCACCACTTCTTCATTGTTTCGCCTGATGGTTATCCGGCGGATGGCGACTACGCCTTGCTCTCGAAAGCCTTCAAGGAGGTCAGCTTCAGTTTCTCGCATCAGATCACGTTGTGAAATGACGCCTTGAACAGTGTTAAGGCTGCGATGGGGGGTGATACACACATTCAGGTGGGCAAACTGCTTCTGTTTAAGGAGAGTGTTTGCATGCTCTTTCTGGCTTACTTCAACAAGAAGATCACCGGATGACAGTTTCTTTACGTCGTACTTTTTGCCTATTAAGTTAGCAAGGGTTTTAGCTATCAGGAAAACCGACAGTCCTGCCACAGAGACGTTATCTGCCAGAGAGTGTATGACTAGGAAGCGTGGGAAGTGCTCACAATCGCTTCCGGTTCGTTTGGAGCTTTCATCGGTGCGGTTCCTTTTCAGGGACCGATCATTGAGGGGGGGGAAAGATTTTGCCATGTGGTGGACTTCATGTTCGGCGGCGATGATGACCACCCACCACCGAGCCCAACAGGGGGACGCTACAAGGTAGAACACTTGAAGGCGCCAGTCATACATCACCGCTATAACCAGATATAACTACCCAAGGTTGGGTAACTACACAAGGTTAACCCTTGCCGCCAGGAAATTTGGAAGTAAACAGAAGAGAATAGAAGACAGGACAGATAGATAGTGAGAAATAAAGACGAAGATGTAGGCAGAGAGAGATAGGAAAAGGCGACTGCCGATTTCCCCTGGGTGGGTCAGCCCAGGGGTGCCGTTTTCATTCATTTTCCTTCATTCCTTCATTTTATTCCTTGGAAAGTAATACTGCGTGCCTTGGAATCATGCCATGCAAATTTGATGGATTTGCAGCCAGAGGATCACAATTTGAGCCTGAAGGGGATAAATCACCCAATATGTTCAGAGGACCATGCACTTGTGTTTGAAATAAGGTCACGGCCTCCGAGATTGCGGGTGGCGGCGTGGTTCTCTTCGGTTGTCCCAATCACCGCACTCCCCAGTAAAACCAGAGAGTATCACATCACGTGCCCAGCTACCGCGAGGGGGCGTGTTTAATGTGGGTTCCCCAAGTGGCGGAGACCACGGCAGAAAGCAGAGCGCTGAGGTGTTCGCGTGGTTACCTTGCGTGCATGCATCACTGGCATTCTGCACAGAGGAAAGAAAATTTTGGAGTGGAAGTCTAAACGAATGTTTGATTCAATAGTAGCCATTTATCAATTAAGTTGCCGACTGGTTACGGTTTATACAATTGATGCTATGTCAATGCTGTAGATTTTTTTCTGTTATAGAAAGGGACGTCGGGTCTTGTTTTTTCGATTTAATTACAGGAATATGTCATACTGCTGCGTGCCCTTCCGCACGTCAGATAGGAAAAAAAACTTGGGCACGAGATGCCAGCATGCGCAGTGTTGGTGTCAACGGCACTGCCAACATTGAATTCGCGAGTGGGTGCGACTATAAAATGCTCCACATTTAATAAAAACTGACAGCCCAATCCACAAGCTAAATCGGAATGCCACATTCTGTGCTCACGGGTTACATGCAAATAAATGGTTCAATTAATTTCTTGTTCTTTTCGTAGAACTACCCCTGATTTAGATTGTAATGCTGTTTATAGAATTATTACAGGCGCGCTGAGGTAATCACAGCTGCGACGCGTAGCAAGATGTGGTTTTATTGCTTTTAGGGACGAAGCTCTTTATAGCACTACTTGGTCGGTCATCCTTCTATCCAGCGTAGCCAGCATATCCATGAGGTTAATGATAAGATGAGTGGGGTGAACCGTCCGTCTGTCTGACGTGTGCTGTAGTGTGATAGGAGTTGACGGACGGACAAATGGATAGACGGACGCTTTGCCTCACTAATCATTTACTCCGTGCATATGCCGTGGTTTTGTTTATTTATCCCTCACGCACCGAACAGAATTTTGCTCTTCGTGAGAAGTCCCACTGAGCGTGCCTCATCTATAGGGAAGACCAGTTGTGGCGAGCACGGCTGGACGGCGGATCTCTTGCAGAGGCATTGTAATTTTAACTGCTCTAATATGGGCGGCGCCAATCTACAGCAAAATAAAAACCTCCACTTGAAAATAAAACACCCCAGCGTTGACTTTGGCTCTTGTATGCCTTGACCCGACATTCCCAAAAGAACACAAAGTTATATAAAAGCGCTAAACAATTTTTTTCACGCCACATACAAGCTTCACCAACAGTGCAACAGCCTTTTCGACCGAAAGACAGAGCGCTACAATGCAGAGAAAATAGCGGGCCACGCCCATCTCAGGAAACGCGCTCTCCGTGCGATTGGGACGGCCGGAGAGAAACCTGCCACGTGCCCGCCATCTCGGAGGCCATGATAAGGTCTAATAATACGAAAATCTCTACCCTATAAAACAAGTGTAAAGAGCAAGATTGTGCTTACATGATTGAGAAACTTGCTTTCTCGGGTGGCCCAACCAATCTGCATTACGCCTGAAGTGACAATTAAGGCCTCGTAGAACCAGACACCAGAGTCCACTTGAAAGGTACAGCGTACACTCTCAAATGATGATGCGTCACATCGTGCCTGAAGAGCAAAAATGTGGAGCCATCATGACGCCAACTTGTCGCTTTCTATCCCCTAAACCTAGCACTTGTAACAATGCAGAGTAACATTTCATTGTCACTACAATTGTGGTCCAGTTAAAAGGCAACTTGAATGTCACTTCCATAACATAAGTATTTGTATTGATTACACTGACCATACACTCACAGTGTGTGTCTGAAAAATCTTGCTTGTGATTATTTTTTTGCATGTGATACGCCCCTGGTTCCAGCTTTTAGATGTGAAATCAACTCTATTTTTGTTTATACAGCAGACTCTCAGTAAGTGAAACATGAAGGGACTGGGAAAATATGTTCCATTTAACAGAAGTTGCGTTTACTGAGAGGTGAACATGGGTGCAGAATACAAGCCTGAAATCAAGCATTGCAGAGGCAATAGTTTGGTTTAACAGATTTCTGTTTACTGAGACTCTACTGTATATGAAATAAAAACAGCCAGGGCTTATGAAAAATACCACTAGTGATATGGAAGAAAAAGCAACAGATGAAAAAGATATGAAGAGCACAAAACATCCTGAAGAAGGTGCAGTGACAAAAGTGTGTGTGTGAAAATGTGCTTATCAGTGAGACTGTACAACAAAAAACAGTTGGTACAAACAGAAAGCTGAACAGCAGAGTTGCCACAATGAGTAGCTGAACAATACAGTCAGTGCAGAAGGAGAAAAGGCCACTACAATAACTTAAACAACTATATCATACAGTTGGTTCAAAAAGAAAGGCCAACAGCAGAGTTGCCATAAGCAACTATAACATACAGCTGGCACAAAAAAATAAAGTCTAAGCCACTAAAGTTTTGCTGCAACAAATGAAAAAAACTGAAACAAAAAGCTCGAAATCAGAGAGTTGGTTGCCAGCTTCAAGGAGCTCAGTATAGGCCTCACAAGTGCTTCATATGATGTTTACGCACATACTGGCAATTTTGCAGTGGATAGTTTCTGCCCCATTTTTTTTTTTTTATGATATGCCAATATAATGTATAGATTACTTGGGAAACAAAGTTCAGGGTAGGCTAATGCTGTAAATTTATCAATATATTTTCACTTACAAGCTATAAAGGGATCTTGAAACCTTTCTTTTGAAATTTTATCAGTGTTCAGGTTTATAGCATTACCAATAATTTGCATCATAAATTCACACCACACTCAATGGTTGGTGCAGTGCCTCCCTCTAAATTGGCTTCTGGCAGTGCCACAGTGAAAGCCACAAAGAAAGAAGCACATAGCTGAGATTTCCTTCACCAGCTACTACAATGACCCCAGCCATTAACATTTTATTCCTCCATACACCAATAATCTGCAAACACCAAGAAATATGCAGACCAACTAAAAGTATCTGGGAATGATCACTGATAAGCATAAACACAGGCAATGTGTGGTGTCTTCAGGGGTAAAGTTATAGCTGCAGACAGGTGGGTCTCAGCATTGATTAGACAGCAAGAGGCCAACACTCACTTCACCAACGAGCTGAGGCAAGTTCGCTCGCTTGTAGCCTAACATGCCTCAAATGATGCCGCAGCTTTACATGTCACCGATCACTAGATTCGGAGCACACCACGAAATTCATAGTGCCCCAGAAAAGAAACCTCAAGATAAATACTGTTGTGCAGCACACGTCAACACAGAGCACGTTGTAACACAAGCAGACAATACTCCCTGTCCACCTGAGGTCCCCAAGTTTGGCAGCAAACAGTGGTTGTGTATCCTCTTTCTGTTACTTTTTTTAAAAACAAAACAGACTACAAAAAGTTATAACTATTATGAACAGCATTTCTTCACAATCAGGTTATAAAAATGGTCAGAGACATAGAGTGTATATATGCAATCAGATAGGTCGCTGGTGCTAGTGCTACATATAGAGGAATAACACTATGTGTAGTGAAAGTGGGCGATTGAAAACTCTTTTGGCTGAGCCACAGTGATCTGTAGTGATTTCAAGGTTTTAAAGACCTGTAAGAGATTACACAATTTAAGTAGAGAGAGAAAATAAATCTGCAAAGGATTTTTGGGACTTGCTTTACTGGCTCAAAGAGTTTGAAAGACGTTTCAGGGTGCCTTAAAGGTACAAGCATTATAAGAATTTTGATTGATTGATATGTGGGGTTCAACATCCCAAAATCACCATATGATTATAAGAGACACCATAGTGGAGGGCTCCAGAAATTTGGACCACCTGGAGTTCTTTAACGTGCACCCAAATCTAATTATAAGAATCTTTATTTATGGCTTATAATGGGTGCCTCAGTGGCAGTAGCGTCCTACTAACAAGCACAAGGTTGAAAGTTCTGTCAATAGTCACTGAAACCATGCTACGAATGAATCCAAAGCACAAGTGTGGGCTCTACTAAAAGAACAGCACAGATGCCCCGCCGCAATTGTCTAGTGGCTAAGGTACTGGGCTGCTGACTCTAAAGTCACGGGATCGAATCCCAGCTGCGGTGGCTGCATTTTTGATGGCGGCGAAAATGCTGTAGGCCTATGTGCTCAGATCTCGGTGCATGTTAAAGATCCCCAGGTGGTCGAAATTTCCGGAGCCCTTCACAACATTGTCTCTCATAATCATATTGTGGTTTTGGGATGCCCAACCCTACATATCTTGGGACGTTAAACCCCACATATCAATCAACCCTACATATAAATCAAAAGAATAGCATAAATGCAAAGCTAGCAAAGAGAAGCAGCCTCTCACAAAACACCATTAGGAGGCTGAAAACCCCCTTTTAACTCTTTCCTTACCATGCCACTAAGCATTGATCACCAGTGGCCTTTACATTTGCAATGGTGCACGCTCTCGAAAAACACAGTTCTTACCCTGACCCTGCAAGATCCTGACCCTGCAAGAAGCAATCTCTTGGACATTACAAGCAGTGATAACTATGATGTCACTGCCCTGTTGTGCGAGTTTGGCTCGAATAAGAAAACTTCGGCATAGTGGATTTTTTTTATTTGTTGCCCTTGCTAATTATTATTGCATGGTTTTATTAATGCATGATTCAAAGAGTACTTGATCTGCAGTTATAGTCTTTTGAACAATGTTTGCCAGGTAATCATGAAAAAATTTATATATTTCCAAATTTTCTTAAAAGTACTGTTGCCAGAAATGTTACTTCTGTCCCAAAATTTTCTTACCATTTTTTGTACACTAATTTTTTTAACCCTTTGCGGTCTATTGTCACGCAGCACTTGACAACGCAACGCGGCCGTACTGGTCCACTGTCGAGCACTGCCCGACAAGGGTGTTCGTAGTTTAAATTTCGCTGTCTTCTCAGTGTTAGTCACGTACATTTTTTTTTTATAAATTAGGTGCCATCTTTTAAAAAATAAGCGACTTTTGTTTGTTGAGGCTTACATTTTTTGAACAGTAGGGTGCAGCACTATGTACAGTGTGGAGCCTAGAGCGTGCCCACTCGCACGCGGTTTGCTGAGATTCATGGCCACATTTTCCCCGCTTGCATTTTATGGTGATGCTTTTAGCAAAAACAAGGATAACTTTAGTGAGGAAGAGAATTACGTGCCTCCACTAGACAGTGATGACAGTGATTTGACAGAAGTGAGTGACACTTCTGTTGACAAATAAGGAAACGCACAACCCTGTCCTGCATCCAGGCAAACGCTTTAAGCGGTATCATACGGGCCCAAATATCGCTAAAAATGTTGCCTGCAGAATGCAGGAGCAAAAATAAATAACCTGTGAACTTTTCTTCCAGTTTGTGTTTTTCTTTGCGGCGCCAGAAACTGGCAAAATAGTGAAACGAAGATGCGCAAGCCTACGGGGCGCGGAAGAAGAAGAAGAGTAGTGGAGCGGCACCTGGACTGTGTGGTTAGGTGGAAGCGTTCTAGGCCTGTCTCAGAAGTACGCTGCTATTTCACAACGCCATTTCACCTCATCTGTAAATAAACACAGTCACTCGTAACAATAGCTTTGAACCTGTAGGGCCGGAAAGTGGGTGAAGGTTTTGGACTGCAAAGGGTTAAAGGGACCCTGCAACAGTTTTCAAAGTAGCCATTAAATGAATTTACTAGAACTTATTGGCTCATGAATTCGCCACCACAAAAATTTTTTGAATTCGTCCAGTATGAGCAGAGTTACAAAGATTTGTCGCATGTTGCAATTGCATTCTCTCTCCTCTCGTCCCGCAAAAGTGCTGGAAGGCAAACAGGAAGAGATGGCACAGATGAAAAAAATATGTCCGCACACCTCATAGCCGTGAGCACTTTCTCTCTCTCTCTTTTTTTCTTTCAAGTACGCGGCTTTTCAGTGCGATCAAGTGCGTATGCGTGGAAAAGACGCGGCCTCCCGCAGTGGCCCCAGTAAAGACTGAGCACGCCATGCACAAATAAGCCAGTGGCTGATACTTGGCCTAGTACATCGTGATTTTGAGCCTTTAGTGTCTTTTATAGATAAAAGAGAAAGAGATTTTAAGCTGATGGAAATTTATTGTAAATTCCAGGCCGTGTGCTGCGCTATATTAGTATTTGGCTTGCATTTTCTCGAGAGCCTCGACTACCGATCAGCAGTATTTTCTAACCATGCTCGAAAAGTGTTGCAGGGACCCTTTAAGAAAACAAGCTTTTATAACCTTTCTCAAGATAAACACCATTAGAAAGTATGTTCATTTGCCCTTACATCGATTACACTGTAAACCTAGCAGCTGTACCACAAAAAATTCTTTCACCAAAACATTAAAAAAAAGTCATTTTCCTTGGTAAAAAAAAAGACTAAATGTTACTGCTGCCTTAGTGAGTGTGCCTGGTAAGTAGTAATTTATTCCAAGCCCACCAAAATAATGACACTAATTTTGGTGCTTGACCACGAAGCATAAATTATCCTTGCAAGTTTACACAACCATATGAATCAACTAGATAATGAAGCCAATTAAAGCATTCCAGGGTCATTCACAGTTTTTAAATGACGTGTGGTATCTATGAGATAAAGGGAAATTAAAGTGGATGGAAAAAACAACTACGCACTGGTGGGAATAGAACACACAACTTTCGCATTACGCGTGTAATGCGCTACCAGTTGTGCTATAGTGGTGGCAGTTCTCCCATCCCTTTTCTTTGGCACCTCTACATGCACACCTTAAAGAAACTAGCTGGCACCAACCGGGTTTATGTACCCACAACGGTGGCCTAGTTGTTATGGTGCTCGACTGCTGACCCACAGGGCTCAGAATCTAATCCCGGCCGCATTATAGATAGAAGCAAAAAAGCTCAAGGCTCGTGTACTGAGACTTAGGTGCTCATTAAAGTCCCCAAGTGGTCTAAATATCCGAAGCCCTCCACTATGTCGTCTTTCATAATGATATCGTGGTTGCGGGACATTAAAGCCCATCAATTATTATTATTATTACATAGCGGCTTATGTGCAACATTCTTTTGTCCAATGGCATAACATAGCTAGTGATGCAAAGGTTATGGGTTCATTTTAACCTGCAGCAAATTGTTTTATCATTCACTTTAATTCCCCATCATCTCATAATTACTGCAAACAACACACCCTAAATTTTTCCTAAGTACAGCAGTCTCTAACAGATACCGACCCCTTGATCAATCCATTTATTTCGTTCATTACAAGTTTTAGTGTAGTTTTTGCCAGGCACAGTCTGACTGTTTTCAGCAGTGTATGAGTGGAAATGTTATGTTGGCGGCAACTTACCACGAGACCGTTGGAGGAAATTTTCAAATACTCGCTGACATCATTGCTGTTGAGCATGGCGTTAATGTTGGTTCTGTCAGTAACCTCATATGTGTAATGACGTCCCTGTAATGATATATAAATATTAACAGCCTACATCGCTAGAATAAAGATTAAACAATAACTACCAATTTAAAAATAAAATTTGCCATATCAATACAAAGTTGCATGAGATAGTTTGGTTTGATACAATTTCACCCCAGTGGACAATACCAGAGCAGTAGAGTCAAAAGCCCTCATTACAAAATTAGAAGCATATAGTTGTCCTAGTAACCACTGTTGCAAATAACATATGGCAAGTTAAAGACTGAATTTACAGGCCCCTTTTAGGTGAAATTTAGAAATCAGAAGTTTTGTTCATCTGATTAGAGTTAGATTGAGTTGAAAAGCTGTAAATGTCTGTATTGCCTCTCAAAAAATTTCAGCCTTTCAGTCTGAAAATGAAACACCTTGCATAATTCAAGTTTACAAGCAGAGCACCAAGAAAGAAAAAAGATGCCCAACAAAACCTAGGCGTTCGAATAACTCCAATGAATGTCATAAAAAAAACTGCAGCACAAACCTACAAAAAAATTCATACATGTTGACAACAATATCCTCTACCACATTCTTTTTACTGTATCAGTCCTGCAGCCTGTGTATGCTTTGAGCATACATTCAAGATGTGGTAATTTTCCATTAAAAATGAGCTAACTATAGTGATATTACCTTGCCAAAGCTGAGCAAAATTTTATCATTTGAAACATTTTGTAGACAGGGTCAAGAGAGTAATTAAGACAGTTACCAGTTACATAAGGTGAAAGTTCTTCAACTTGTACTTAAAGGGCTATGACAGGGTGAATAGGTCGTCTTAGTTTCAGCTTTTATCTCTATGACTAGTAATACCGTATTCTACAGTAAAACTTCGTGTGTTCAACACAATGTCATTGGCATTTACTTTGTGTATTTATTACCCTGTATCTTTTTTTTACTTTTTTGTATTTCAGTATTAAAATGCAGGCAAAGAAGTAAAGTGAAAGGTACCTATCCCTAAACAAGAAACAGTGTCACTGTTGCATTTTGCATGATAATGCAAAATTTTTGCAAACTGAAGCTTAAGAAAATGGCAGAAAATCAATATATTCAACCGATCTAACCATATCTATTATAAAAAAATACACACACACAAAAGCAATGATGGAAAAGAAATGTCCCCAATCCCTCGCAACTATGGTTGCCACCTGCCCAGTTTTAGAGCGGCTCAACCGGTTTTTCTTCTACAGCGAGCTGGTTACCAGTCCATGAAGCGTCACTTTAATAACGGGCAATTTTATGACAGCAATTAGACTAGTAGGTTAGCTTAGTGTGCAGTTTTTGTTTGTACGTTAGGCTTACTTGGCTTAAGGAAAGCAATGTTACATTAAATGGCACTGCATGCGAAAGACCTTACATGGCGTCTATTGTTCAACACTAATTTAATCTCCTGGTAGCTCATACCCATCCCCTCCTGCCGAAGGGCCGGTTATCATTCGAGAAAAGGTGGCAACCCTACTCACAACCGTCAGGAGGTGCAGCTTTTTGCACAATTTTTAAATGGTACTGAGTATCCTTATGCTCTCACCAATGCACCACTTTTCTCTTCAGTGTGTGTATTACTAATCAAATTTTAAAAATTGCTTCGAGGTAAATCGAGTAAATCGCAGTCAATTTACCCTATCATGCCCATATATACAGAGTGACCATTAAGGATACACACTCCATTTATACACTGTTTCTGCTTGCTTTCGAGACAAATGTGTCCATTGAGTGCCCAATTAATCGAATACCCCGTACTTCTACTATAATTGATAATCCATGTATTGTGAAGGCATCCAAACTATTAACATTGTGTGTGCGCACACGCACATTTCTCTATTGCCAGTTTAAAACATGGAAATAGAGAAATGAAACATTGCACGGCCGCTGAAGGTGAGGTAAACGCAAGTTTGCCTCACTTTGCATATGGACGACGTCGGGCAAAGTTTGGCCAAAGGTTCTCGCAATATTCAATCCGACCACATTGCAACAAAAATCGGAGACACCATTCTGACCGAAAATTCAGTCCCCGCGAATTATCGCCATTGCACCCACAAGTATCGAGCAACGTACTAAATGTCTAACATATGCGTATTTATATGTTCTACGTGGAACGATTCGACCAACATGTGCACCAAGTTTTAAGTGCACACAATCGGATTCGTACGCAGGCCCTTCATCTTAATAGTGTGACATCAGTCACTGAGCTGCATGCAAAATCCGCACTTTCCGCCCGTATAACAAATAAGTTAGTAAGACTTAAAAAGTTTTAATTCCGAAAGTTTACGCTGCAAATTGTACGATTGTTTAGATCCCTTTATATTTTGAGAAAGAAAGGAATAACATAATAACTTTTGAGACACCGTATATATATATATATATATATATATATATATATATATATATATATATATATATAATTACTATTATTACAAGCCATGTATTTGAAAGAGTTAATGCATAAAAATGCCTGGCATTCTGAAAATTGAATCCATTTGCCCAAAAATCTCTTGGACATTGTGCAGAAATATAGGACGTCCTGAAGGAAGGTTTGTGCTGCTCCAAATATGTTGGAAATATCGCAACACTACACCCAACATTTATTCCCCATTTAATAGTTTGATTAGAATGAATACACTGGCTAATAAGGACTTTTATGCAATTTAAAAGAAAGTGGGAGAATGCATTTCACGTAAGCAATAGAAGTTCCACATTGTACCACAGCAGGAAATGGCCGCTCACCTCAAGGATGACTGTAAGTACCATTCGTGTTTTGCATGGAAAAAAAAAAAGAAAAAGAATGAGTAAGCAAATAAAAATCACTCACAAAAAAAGCTACAAAAAAGTTCAGTCCACCACAGGCATACATAAAATTTTGCATTTAACAAGCTTCAGAGCATCAGTTATACCTACAGCTTTCACATCGGCAACATGTATGCATGGTTGCAGGATTGTGCATCAAGTGCTGGGTTACCATGTAATATTGAACTAGGAAGAGATGCAATTCCAACTCAATCATCCACTGAGAAAATGTTTCATTATCTTCAGATGCATACCGCGATATGCAGAGTGCGGACAAAAATAGCCAGAAGCAGTGACGTAGCCAGGTTAGTTGTTTCAGGGGTTTCGAAAAAAAGATTCCTTGCTACGCTCCGGACTAGAAGTGTTATAGAAGTGGAATAGAACTGAGTTATATCAACAACACCAACTACAAGCACGATTCTTTAACTGTAGCGTTTTTGTAATTATGGTGATGTGCATGAACAATTAAACTGGACGGAACAACATAATCATTTCATAGCTGTCAGTGTAAAGAACTTCCTTTATACAGTTAAACCTGCTTATAATGAACCTCCACATTATAACGAAATTTTTCTATTCCCGACCATTATTTCGTAGGAGCACGTGTATTTGCGACCTCTATGTAACAAAGTAATAGCAGAAGACATCCTTGATATAACAAATTTTCCCCATAAACAATCTGAAAATTCGGCAGCGAATTTCGTCATTTTGGCACGAGCATGCATCTTTTGCGGGTGACCTGCCACCGACGAAGCGCGAAACAGCAGCAGCGCGCTTGTGGCTTTGGCTACTCCCAGGCAAGAGCGAGCGCTCGTTATTTCACGCGGGTGTGAGCGAGGCAGGTAACCGGGCCTGCGCCCCATGAGCTGGCGTTGCGGCTGAACTCACTGCCACGGGCGCATGTGCAAATGTGCCTCCTTCCTCAAAAAAACAAAAAAAAAAAAAGAGAGAGAAAAAGAAAACTACTTTTGCGTAGGTTGTAACACGCTTTTAGTTAGCGTCACATGTGTAGCCGCATTACATATGGAGGGCACTTTACTGAATAGTTTTTCGCAATATTCGTGTCGCTTGCGCTGCAGTTTCACTGCGCACATGGTGTGGCTACCGACGACTTTCAGCTTTGACTTTCTTTTTTTTTTTTTTTTTGAATTGTGGACAACCATTACCACTACCGAGGAGAAGTCAGATTAGGCACTGATGAAAGCTCTATGAGACCACAGTGACGACGACCAACCTTTGGAGGTTGACTCATCACACGCTTCTGTCTTCCGCCATGTCGTGAGTTCGTGGAATCGTAGCTTTCGCGATTAGCTGATTAGCTCTGGAAACAGCACGACGGCACGTTGACGCAATGCAATGAATGCGATAACAACAAATTGTAATGTTATATGAAGTAAGGCTGGCAGCCAACTTGTTCGGATCTGATATCGCGGAACTCCTACAAAACGCTAGTGTGAGCGAATATGGCCACTACAGAGAGAAATTCTCTTTTCACACAGTCTCTTCCCGTTGAAAGCGCCCTGATACTTGCCGAGATAGCATGCGCGTGCCAGCGATCGCGACCACACCCTTAAAATCATAGTTCACGATTACTACTCGAACACCCCCTCCTCTGTGTTTTTTCATGCTCGTTCAAGACGGGTGGTTTCCTTTTTGTTTGAGCATTGGACAGCAGTTCTAGTATGCTGGGGGGATGTTATCTCATGCACCCTGCAGGCGGTAGAGATGGGCTGGCTCATTTGATCTCTGCTTCAGCAGCGCTCACGTGCTTTTACCCGCCCGTAACAATTATGATGCACGGGGGCAATTTGAACTTGTTATAGAACATGGTGACTTCGGCAAAGGCCCGCCAAGAGTGTCCATACAATTGCTATCACAATAATAATGCAGTTTTTTGCCTCTAAGTAAGTGTTATAAGCTATCTCTGCCTTCAGTTCCCTTTTTGTTCAATTTGTCTGTTTATTTTACAAATTTTGGTACCAAACCTGCATATAAGGAAATCCTCTTAACAATGAATTTTCCCGAAATTTGTCAATTTGTTATATCCAGGTTTAGCTGTATTCAGTACTATAACTAAATTATAACTGCACTGTTTTTTAACAAAAGTTTAGTTGCAAATGCTAAAATTTTGATAATGTCTGCTTAAAGTGTGCAATACCATAGCTATAGTTATGGGGACACAAAGATGAACAGTGCTTTCTGTGGCACAGTCGCCCCTCGATATGACAAGCGCAAGCATGACGAGTTCTCAAATATAGCTAGGGCTTGGCGATCTTCAGTCTTCTTGTTTAGCAAAAATTCATCCAGCTGTTTTTTTTTTTTTTAATTCTCCAAGAAATTAGTTCTGTAAGAGGGAAAGATTGAGAACCGAAAAGCATCTGTTTTTTTTTTTTTTTTTTGTGCAGAGCTGTCTTGTATCTACCCTCCCCCCTCCCCCGTGACATTACTGTTGGTTAACTTTGAGGAGATTGAAACGCACTAAATGGCTGCAGATCCTACTCAATACTGTGTCACTGTATATGCAAAACATTAAAGATGTCAGAAATCTGTTCGGCTAGAATACAATGACAGATGACATTTTGAATTCGTAGGAACTCAGGTGCATTCAACACCCAGACACAGTTGAAATGACACTGTTGTATCAAGGTGTAAAATTCCAATGAATAATGTCAGAATAAATCATCGCACGGACACAAGAGTTTAGTGCCATAAGTGAATGCGACTAGTTCGTCCACTACAATGGCCACAGCATGAAGACTGCAAAAACCCAAGTCACGGTTCCTTCAACTTCTGTGTGCAGCCCCTCTCTTCACTTGTAGTTTTTGTTTGTCAGGCTGACGCGTGTTCACCTAGCCAAGCTTCTTGGAACACAGCATACAGAAGTTTCAATTGCACACTCATGTCTCGCCACCTATTACAAAGCACTGTCCCTTGTCAAAACTGTTGCACATTAATTTAGTTTTATGCACATTATTTTCAGGCCTACTCTTCTGCTTTCCATGTCCAATTCAGTAATCATGAGTTGTAATTCGTCCCCTGAAAATTACCCAGGTGCAAAGGCTGGCACAGTCATGAAGACACTCTGTGTGATACGTTATTGAGAGAGCTGGTCATGCTGGGCGACTACCGCAGCCAAAATGAGCACCTTGAATTTGTAACCGTCTTTGTTTGAATGGAGTAATCAGGTGAAACTGCTTAGCTGAAGAGGTTGGCCATGGCCCTTAAGTGATGGCATCAAACTCTATCTCTGCGTCTGTACCTACAGTCTGGAGTAGGTGCGATATCATGCCTACCAAGGTGCAGCCCTGCATGAGATGGCATGCCACTGGTGCGCACTATACTCTTAAAAATACACCTATCCATTCAAAACTATGTAAAATAAACACTGCATATTGTAATAATCGTGTCTTCTGAAGTTGCATTCTGAAACTTCCCTCACTTTTGATATTTTTGTTTACCACCTCTTCAAGTAGTCGTCCAAATCATATTACCGTATTTACTCGATTCTACCGCGCCCTCGATTGTAACGCGCACCCGATTTCCATCACGAAAAAAAAAAAAAAACGTAAGACATCGATTTCAACGCGCACCCATTTTTCTCGCTGGCCCGCACGATCACACCACTCGAAAAAACGACTCCTTTCGGGAGCGTCTTGCGTTTATATATGAGGTACGGGCGAAGCTTGTGCCCATCTGACGTGTAACAGAGCATTGCCGTCCCTGTTGTTTTACCGTGGACCGATGTCAGCACGCGAACTTGCTTCGCCTCCTTCTTCTCGACGGTTGTGGTGCCAGGCATGTCGAAGTAAAGAGGCGTCTGATTGGCATTCCCGATTTGCCCAAGCAGGTAGCCGTTGTTGCGCCGCAAGTTTAGGACGAACCTCTGAAAACTGTGAAGCTTTTCATCGTACTCCTCCGCAAAAGTTTTCGCATATGCATGTTCCCCTTCGGAAGGGAAAGCCTTTCCTCTTCATAAAGTTAGTTAGCCAGCACCTGCTCGCTTTAAACTGGCTCCGCATTAGACTTTTTTTTAAGACTAATTGCATAGCCCGCACATGGAGCAGTTCTGTCGTCATGGGCCGCTGTGCCGCTCGCTCCTCAAGCACATACTCGCGGAGCAGCTCTTCAATTTGCGGAAACCGACCCTGCTGTGGTTCACTGAAGCCTTTGCGTGAAGCTTTGCTGTCGACAATCTTCTGCTTTTGTTTCCGCCGGTCCCGCACGCACGTTTCGAGAAGGACCGCGATGCGGCCCGATTTCCGTTCGTTTCTGCACACGCGAAGACTTTTCTTTTAAAAGCGGCATCGTGGTGCACTCGAGTTTTTGGAGTCGGCCCTTCCACGTCGTCGATGCTAATGCACTACTAGATGACGAACTCCTCAGCACACGTACGAAGTGTCGCACATGGTAAACACATAGGCAGAAATAGCCGACGCACCATGCCACGGAGGAAACCTCCGTGCACCATGCCGACGCACGTAGGGGGCGGCCATCTTGGATTTGCGATGGCAATAGATTGACCGTAATTTTTTTGTTCGTACTCGATTCTAACGCGCATGCGATTTATGAACTCGCTTAACCGGAAAAAAGGTGCGCGTTAGATTCGAGTAATTACGGTAGTGGCTTTCACAAAAGACTTGCAAGCAAATAGCCACTTTTCACCCACAAAGTACTCACAAAGGTTGTCCAAACACCATTGAGCACAGAAGCCAACTTGACGTTCAACAAAATCTTCACTGTCAACCCAAGGCTCCATTTTTGCGAGAGGGTTCTCTGGTAGCCCTGACAGGCGCTTTTCCAGGGTTACTTTGTTCTCACCTGCATCACAGTGCATGCACAAATATCTCTTCACTTCAAGTACACAGCAAGCTCTGGACTACAATCCATTTTTTTTTTTCAGACAAAAAGCTTAATGAAAATAAAGCAATGATAGGCAGCAGAATATTTGGTCTAGTGAATCATGAATACTAAAAAAAATATGCTTAGTAATAATAAATCATAAATATCCTCTATTACAAAGTTATTAAGAACCAAGTTCTATAAACAAGACTTCCAAAAAAAAACTACACTAAGCTAAACAAAAACTCACTTGTTTGAGCAAATTTCTCCAAGGCGATAAGTGAGAACAAGATCACAAGAGTGTTGCATGTAACAGGATCCTGCAAGATAATGAAGAAAAGCAAAAACAACAATGCTCATGAACATTTAAACAAGTCTCTAAAGCAAGACAAGCTTTCTAAATTATAGCATAAACTTGATTAAAAAGATTTTAAAGGAAATTACATAAAATACCTACCCTAACCATCAATTTGAAGATGAAATTTCACGCTGACTGCTAGTTATAACAATAAGTATTCATTTCGGATGACTACTGGTAAAAAGTTAATTAGAACAGACAGTGATGCCTAGAAAAGTACAGTGGATGTTATTTTATTAATTAATTTATTTATTTATTTACAATACTGCTACTCTCTTTCGAGAGCGTGGCAGTTGGGCAGTACAAAGATTTTTCACAAAAAAAATAACGAAAGAAAACAGTAAAAGCAAACACTTACAAGCGTAAAAGAAAATATGAATATCGTCAATACAATCAAAGAATGGAGGAGGTAAATATAATATTAATTGACATAAAATGACCACAAAATATATTGCAAGTTCTAAATATTATGCAATACTGTCATCAAACTGAATGCAAAAAAGAGGAAATGTATGGCACCAAATGAAGGCTGGATGGATTTGATAATTTTAGTATTGAGACTTAAAATGTATTAAAAACTTGATTTGCAATCATTGAGAGCTTGTTTGAAAATGTCTAAATGATTGTTGAGTGCAGGTGTGAACAAATAAAGAAGAACGGAATCTATGTCGCTTTATTGCTACCGTGGCCCTTCATACATTGCTCCTGTTATGCGCGCACAGTTTTTTCTATTTGTGATGAAAGTTCAGATAATGATTTTGTATTGGTGATAGCAGCATCAAGTTCATTCCATTCTGCTATTGCGAGCGGGAAGAATGAATACTTGAATGCGTCGTTTTTGCATACGTATTTTCGCTTATTGCATACGCATATGCTTATTGCGTGTTTGTCTAGCCTGGGAACGTGAGACGTATTTGGAAGTATCTATACTGTAGTTATTTTTGAGTAGCTGGAACAGAAATTCGAGCATGTTTCGCTCTTGTGGACAGTGTTTGTAGGCCGGACTGGATCAAAAGATATGTTGGCGAATATAAGCATCTGTATTTGTTGAGGATGTAACTAACAGCCTTCCTTTGTATTGCCTCTAATTTGCCTATGTTAGTCTGCGTATGCGGAAACCACACCGTGTCAGCGTGTTCGAGAACTGGCCTCACAAATCATGTGTAAGCCAACAGCTTCGTTGATGTTGTTGAGAGCGCTAGACTTCGTTTTAAGAAAATAGTTTGCGTAGTGCCTTCGAAGTAATATTATCTATGTGTTGGTCCCATTTAAGATCAGAAGTGAGTGTAACTACAATATATTTATGTTCCTCAACTTTATTAAGTGGAGTGTCGTTAATGGTGTATGTGTAGTTGGATGGTTTTGTTTTCCTGCACACAATCAGTCAATACCCCTGATTTTTGTATGTTTATTTTCATCTGCCATTTAGAGCACCAATCAGCTAAGACGGCTACAGAATTATTAATCTTGATATGGTAGTTGTGAATATTAATTTCTTTATAAATGACACAGTTGTCTGTGAATAATTTTATATTGCAAGCAACATTATCAGTAATATCATTAATGTATATTAAAAAAAGCAGAGGCCCAAGCACAGAGCTTTGAGGAACTCTGGATGTCACTGCAACTGTGTTAGAAAACATTTGTTCGTAAAGTACAAATTGTGATTGGCTAAATAGGAAACCTTTTATCAACGCAGAAATTTCTCCTATTCCAAAAACAGTTTCAATTTTAGCTATTAGTTTGCTGTGACATACACAGTCAAATGCCTTAGACAAGTCGAGTAAAATTAAGTCAGTTTGGCCATGGTTGTTAACTGTAGCAGCAAGATAGTGAACTAGTTCAGTAAGCTGGGTAACTGTTGAAAAGCCACTTCTAAAGCCATGTTAGTTGGGAGAGAAAAAATGAATGTGCTCAAAAATAATGTCATGTGTTGTAAAATTATGTGTTCAAGGAGTTTACATGAAGTGCTGGTCAATGAGATAGGTCTGAAATTTGAGGGTAATAATGCATTGCCTCCTTTGTGTATTGGTATCACTTTTGCTACTTTCCAATCATTAGGAAGTTGTGAAGTCTTGAGTGATTTCCGGAAAATGACACCTAGATACTGACTACACCATTCTGCATATTTTTTTAGGAAACTGTTAGGTATATTGTCGGAACCGCTAGCTTTTCTGGGGTCGAGTTTTAGAAGCAGGTTGAAAATGCCAGCATCAGGGATATCTATTTTGTCGATTTTTATGCCATGTTGCAGAATGATTGGTGGAATAACGTTATCATCTACAATAAACACTGATCGAAAAAAATCGTTATATGTGTTGGCCTTAACAGTTTTTTCTTCAGGGAGGAGATCCGATGTTGTTTTCTTGGTACGAAAGTGATTCCAGAACCTGCAGGGATTGTTGATAAGAAAAGTAGGTAACGATACGTCGAAATTGCGCTGTTTAGCAAGCTTAGCTTTAAGCTTGAATTCCGCGATGACATCTGGTAGCTTCTGAATTCTTGATTCTCCCCTGCCTTTCGTTTTTATTGCCCTGCGTAACCTTTTCAAACATCGCTGTGCCTGAATGACGTCACGCGTGATCCAAGGATTATTTTTTGGTAGGCGCTTGATTTTTGTTGGTACGTAATGAGTGATACAAAAAAGTACAACAGATTTGAAGAGAAGCCAAAGGTAATCGACATCTACTGAGGTATTCGAACCCATTTATGAGAAATTCTGAAATTCATGAGCTAGGTGAGTTTGTATGCTTTCATCATCAGCTTTTTCGAAGTCTGTTACAACAGATGCAGAAAAAAGTGTGGTTATGATATCTCCAAGCGGGACGACGCACACCGGTACGTCGTGGTCAGATATTCCACTGGCTACATCTACTCTTATATGGTTTATGTCAAAGTGGTCGCTGAGAAATATGAGATCAAGTATGTTCCGATTTACCCCGTGAGAGCAGGTAGGGTGCGAAACAACCTGATGAAGATTGAAGGTGAGCATGAGATCAATTGTGATAGAAATGTGAAGAAAAGAAAGTGGAGGAAAAGATGAATTGTCACTGGCAGGGGCCGAACTTGCGACCTTCGAATAACGCATCCGATTCTCTACCAACTGACCTATAGCGGCAGTTATCCCTACGTCCATTTTATAGGGTATATACGTGCATATAAACGCATATACCTATAACATTGCCGTACTGGCTACTGGTGGCAGTGACTGAAGCTCCCCCATTTAAATCCACCATCTCCAGAAGTAAAAACCACTGGAGACGATTGGTATGAATGAAGTTCGGCCAGATATCTTAAAACACAGAAATTCTCTTGCTGCACAGGTGGCAAGCTCATAACCTTAGTGAGCTTCCTCTTCCATACAAGCTTTATGTATTGCACTGTGACAATGAGAATCCACTTCAACTTATAAAAATTCCAGCATTGGAAAATAAAATGTTTGAGGCCTGTATGCTAAGATTTAAATGCATCTTATAGAACCCCAGTTGGTCGAAATTTTCAGAGCCCTCCACTACGGCATCTATTGTAATTATTTTGTAATTTTGGGATGTTAAACACCAGATGCAGTCGAACCCCGCTACTACGAAACTGACTGGGCGCGAAAAAAATTTCGTTGAAGCAAAAATTCGTTGTAGTGAAATCGAAAAAATATAGCTGATCTGAGCTAGCTATACAAAGGAACGTCTGCTCTTAAAATTAAAAAAGAGTCCGCTGCTTCCTATTCTTTCCCGGCAGCATCACGACGCGATTCACAGTCATGCATAGAGAGGCCATGGTGAAAACCGCTGAAATAACGCCTACAACCGCATTCGTAAACGGACCAAACAGTTGCATTAACACGTTAACACCAGCAGCCGTCCGCCATCAAAGTGTATCCGACAATGCCGAGATGACAGCAGGGTATCGTGGAGCGACGACTTCTCCATTATTCTATGCCATTCTTATCATCCATCACTCGCGGATAGCTGATTTTGTTGATAATGTGGACGAACAGCCACACTGATTAGTTACCACATTGGCCAAGCGCGAACATAATTATAAGCTTCGGAATCGGAAAAGGCATCATTCTGCGGTTGCAGCCAGCAGCCGCGTGAAGGAAACCATGAACTGAGCGAGTGAACTTCACCTTCGGATCGTCTGCGGCTCAAAAGCTCCTGTCGCAAAAGCAGGGTAGTCTCATTGCTATCGCTATCGAGCAATGGCGGCGCCCACGCTTACTTAACAGCAGCGGTATAGCGGCCGTTTCTGGTAGTGCTAACGAGTGTTTTAGACTTCGTTGACGCATATTCAGGCTCTGAAAATGCATTGAAATGTTAAAGATTGGGCTTCCTGCATATAAATATGTATCTGAGCATAGAATTGCATTGTGAAATTTCGTTGAAGCGGGACAATCGAAGAAAAAGTGTTTGTGGCGGCAATATATATGCATTGACTCCTATGCACTACTGACGGGGAGTCGTGACTTTTTTTGTTGTAGTGAAGCGGCATTCGTTATAGCGGAGCTCGACTGTATTAATAAGCATCGAAAAGCCATCCAGCTCCTCTAAAACCTTCTTTAAAGTGTGGAGAGATGGGCAACAAAGCAATGGAGATCCACATGGGCACGTAGAATAAAAACCTCGCCCTTTTCTCTCCTTTTTTCTTTGATTACATGACCTTCAGACAGTATGTACCATTTTTACTTCTGTAATGAACACACTCGCATAATAAATGCACCCCCAATTTAAGCCATCAAAATTAGAAAATTTTTTTTCCCCACGTAATAAACGCACCACATTTCATCCTCTGCAGTCCCGCTAACCAACACCTAGCACCTTCTCACCCGTTGGATTTCTTCCGTTTTCTATTATTTTGCCGACCCACCTTGGCTTGCTCCCTCCCTCCCCTTTGCCTGTTACCGCGTGCCGTATTGTTTTGCTTTTTATCTGTGCGCGGCATGTCCCCCGTCTTATCTGTGCGCCAAAGAGGGGTTGAACAGTGCGAGTGTAGAGACATCGCAGTTAATAACCACACAGCAAGCGAAGGTCACAAAACTGATATGAGGGGTTTAACGTCCCAAAACCACCATATGATTATGAGAGACGCCATAGTGGAGAGCTCCGGAAATTTCGATCACCTGGGGTTCTTCAACGTGCACGCGAATATGAGCACACGAGCCTATGACATTTCCGCCTCTATCAGAAATGAAGCAGCCGTAGACGAGATTCGATCCCGCGACCTGAGGGTCAGCAGCTGAGTACCTTAGCCACTAGATCTTTGCGGAGGGGCGAAGGTCACGAAACTGCCAGCGCCAACCGACGCAGGCAGTTTTAAAAAGCCCAACCACATGCACGTGATTTTCAAGTGACCATAACAAGATTTGCTGTCGCGAAGAATCAATAGTTGCTATTGCATCAACGGCTTCTGGAAAACCAGGAAAAATTGCTTGTCGTCCAGAAAAGATCGTGATAATTTCCGCAACATAGTAGCACCCCCAATTCTCGCTTCGCTTGTTATCCGCGCGTAGAGGAACTTCTCATGTAGAAGCGAGGCAATGGCCGTATTTTGTCATTAATCTTGTTATTGACAATTTCTTTTGGTGTTTCGGGGGTAGCTTGCTGCAATATTGGTTTCTTGCTACAATGTAAACAGCGTCGTCGTGCCAGGTTGCCGCGAAGTTGGCAAAATGCATCGTAGCGTCGTAGCATACTGTTTTGGGCGCCTCTCGAGATCACAGCAGACCACTGTTGCGGTTAAATTATTGCGAGAAAAAATAGCCACAAAACGCTTTTATGGCGTGCGCAGGCAGTCCAGGGACAGCTTGAAGATAGCGCCATCAGCCACGAAAGATGAGTTAAGTGCAACAAAGAAGCTATTTCCAAACACTGTATGCGTATGTCAATTGCAAAAGGACATTGGTTACTTGCTGTAATGTTAACGGCATCGTCAAGGTCGTCGTGCGAGGTTGCCGCGAAGTTAGCAAAGTGCGTCGTAGCGTCATAGCGCACGCTTCTGCGCGCCCCTGCAGATCACAGCAGATACCACTGTTGTGGTTAAACAATTGTGAGAAAAGATGGCCGCAAAATGCTTTTATGGTGTGCGCGGGCGGCCCGGGGACAGCTTGCAGGAAATAGCGCCATCAACCACCGAAGATGAGTAAAGTGCAACAACGAAGCTATTTCCAAACAGTGTACGCATATGGCAATTGCGAAAGGCTAAGCGACCTAACTTTTTTTTGCATTACCACATTTTTGGCTCCTCCAAAAAATTTTGCATTAAATTTACCTCACCAAATAAACGCACTGCTGTGATTTTTCAAGAAAAAAAGCGTGTTAATTATGCGAGTAAATACGGTAAATAAATTTGAATTTTGATAAGCAGCACTTCATCCCTGTCCCACAATGCAACCAGAATCCAGATGGCTGTGGCCAGTCTCCTGGCTGTGATCCACTTACACCCTCACAACTCTGGTTGCTTGCTGCTGTGGCCCATCTAAAGAAAATTTTCCTGCAGCCTTCATAATAGCCAGGAGTGAGTGTCAGGAGACACAGCATTTTTCAGTCTCCCAGGCAGGTATTTCACTGCAAACTATAAAGGCCACCGTGGAGACGATTTTTAGGCTATAATTTTGACGAAGACTACATGTAACTTTGATCAAATAACAATATATGATGATGATATGATATGTGGGGTTTAACGTCCCAAAAGCACCATATGATTATGAGAGACGCCGTAGTGGAGGGCTCCGGAAATTTGAGCCACCTGGGTTTCTTTGACGTGCACCCAAATCTGAGCACACAGGCCTACAACATTTCCACCTCCATCGGAAATGCAGCCGCCACGGCCGGGATACGAATACGCGACCTGCGGGTCAGCAGCCGAGTATCTTAGCCACTAGACCACCGCGGCGGGGCCAAATAACAATATATGTCACGTGAAGAGGCACACACTGCAGCTGATGAATTAGAGCAGTTTACACGAATTAGAGCAGTTTACTTCAAAAGTTCTATGCACTCGCAAAGAGTTTTCATTATGATGATAGTTTCAAGATATCCATTAGCGTAGAGTAACTTTCTTGCTTCGATGTATAATGTTCAGTTAAGAAAGTAATGGGAACACAAGTGCATTTTTATACCAAGTTTGACAGTGACTGAAAACTGAAACTAGTTTCAAGTTTGTGCCAAGTGTATACACCTTGTCAGATGGCTTAATTTAAGTAGTATTTGTAATATGCTAACATAGTGATTAAAAAGTTTATTAGTAAATTTTTGGTATATATTCAATTTTTATTTAGATTACCAGTGTTATAACCACCTCGCTGAATAACCAGACTGAACAAGTAAGTTTGTGCGAAATGCCACGAGCTCTTATATTTGTAGTTGGCTAACGTTAAGATTACATCAACCGAAACCAGAGAAGGCATGCCCAGGATAAATGTGTTGCTGCTTGCTGGAGCGATCATACATTTAAGGAAGAAACACGTAAACTATTTCTTCATTTGTAAACAAACAAACACAGGTGGTGCAGCACCTGCCTATTAACATCATAACAGATGCCACATAAACAATAAAAGCTGCAGGAGCCACATGACTGGAACTCTACAGTTCTGCTTTCAAGTCGAAGGTTAGAGCATCTGAAGTTGTACTGAAAGAACCAGTCATATGTGCCTGAGACACTCAATTTAGACATGCTGTGCACTGCCATAGTGCTCTGTAGCACTTGAAAATAATTACCTGAACGTACCATAACATGACAGTAGACAGTGGAGGTCAGTCAGCTTTAAAGAGTAGATTCAGCAACAGGCAGATAACCACAAGAGACATCTATGCCCCATTGACACAAATCAATGGCTAGTGCACAACTACTAACATTCACCCTGCATAAGCTTTCACATTATTTTGCTTTGGCTTGATATCATCCCATTGCATTACCAAGCTTTTGCTCATAATATGTATGGACAATTTAGGAAAACAACAAGCGTGAATACAAAACACACTCACCAAATTTGCAATGAGGTATTCGAGTGTGTCTTCTGTCAGAAGCGCAACACTGCTTGGTCCTGTTTGTGCATGCAAGAAAATAAGAGAAGAAAAAGATGAATACCAGAAATAAATGACTGAATTTCAAATTTAAGTGTTGCATGATAAATAGCAGCCACAAGAAACAATGCTGTGTTGACCCTATGCAATTAAACGTTTACCCCTTTTACAGGTTTTCTGGTTGGGAATGATCAGAAACCACAGTGAAGTACATATTACGCTGGTCTGCACAAAGGTATAATAATTTACTCATTTCATCAGTGGGAGCCAGTCATGTTATGCAGCACTTGAAGCACCCTTTAGGATGGAAGCCAGAAATTGTTTTGCAAGACACATACAGTAAGCTACTCTATCCCTGTACCATAGTTACCCGGTACTAATTGACTTCACACGAGTTGCTTTTGTGAGATACATGTGAGGCACATGTCATGTTTTAGTAGCATCATTATACATAATGGGTGCACATGATAAAATTTTAAAATAAAAGCATGTAAAGATGTACAAGATGCAATAATGAAAGAGTTTCTAATGTGTGCTTCCCTATGAGCATCACTACCATCATCTTAACTACTTGAAAAAAAAAAGTCTATGAGTATATTTGTTCAAAGTAGCATGAATGTGTTGTGTGCTGCCTGACATATGACTGCTAGAAGAATAACTCAAAGGTTGTGGGTTTGGATCCCACAGACTAAAAGGGTGATTTTTTATCTGCTTTAATTCATTTTGATTTACAACCTAATTACTACACTACTATTAAAGACAATGTCCCATATGCTTTCCTTGACGTAATTGTCTGTTGGATTCACCTGGTTGTGCTAGGCACCAGTGGGTTTGGATTCCACAGACTGAAAGGATGATTTTTTATCTACTTTCATTCATTTCAATTTATAACCTAATTACTATGCTACTGTTAAAGACAATGGCCCATACGCTTTCCTTGACATAATTGTCCGTTGGATTGATCTGGTTTTGCTTGGCACCAGGTATATTAAATTTTGCCACAGGGACAGCACAAAAATTAGTTCAAAGCTTCATAAGGACTTGACAGAATTTTCAGACGAATTCACATAAGAGATTTTTTAGCTGGCAATACTGTAATCACTATGACCACATTTCACCAGCTAAAACCACCACGCACGTTATTCCAGCTATTCTTTAACCTGCACAGTGTCTATGGCACCTGATGACCACTCACTAACCAAAAGAACAATAAACTTTTATAAAAACATGACTTGTATGATGCTTACAACTGGTTTTTGGTTACCAGCTCAACCAGGTTGTCCCCATCCTTGTCTCAACTCCCTCTCTTCTTCCTCCTCTTTTTACTACTTTGGCATTTTTCCTACTTCCACCACCTTCCCAAAACTTTTCTGACCCTGCCATCACCACTACGAAGCCTACATATGCAAAATTGTACCAGTCATTTTCTCTTCAGTACCATGTAACTGGCAGCACAGTAAGAATAGGAATAAGATGCACATACAAATGAGTAATATACAGACCTATAACTAGTTTATTCAAATTATTTCCCATGTATATAAAGGAAACCAATCATAAGAAACAATGAAGAAAACCATTCATTTCTACTTAAAAATGCATTACACTACTGTCTTCATCCAGTTAGAATACCCCTAGTAACTCAAGAAAACAAAGTTTATTTTGAAAAAAAAAAAAGAAATCCATTAATACACATCATAGCTATCAAAGATGAAAATTTCAAGTCTAGGAACAAACTATAAACACAAATGAATACCTGAATAAAAAACACTACATAATTTCCAAATTTCTGAAAATTTTAACACTACTGCCGGGTAACCAAGTTGAAACAACAGTCTTGTAGTCATCAAATATTGCTACTATTTGTAGCAATATTCGGATTTAACTCAGGTTACACTTCCTTTACGTAACTCTATTTTTTTTTTTATGGACAAAATGCTGTCTTATGTTCAAGGCAACAGTAAAAGGCCTTCATGCTTGCAAATAGCAGCATAAATTACCACAGACAATGGTGTCTCCAAGCCTTCCTTCAGTAAAATGGCTCATTAACAAGTACATACTCTTTCCAATACTTCAGCTTTTTCAGCAAAGTTCAATGCATTGTCAGATTGCTATAGTAAGCTCCTCTCTACTACACTGAAAAATCTAAAAGGACTAATACAGCTTATTTTAGTTACTTGAAACGTTGGGGGTACCTACAAAATTTTTGTAACTGTTCATCTATTCCTATGTCGTTCACCAGGTCATAAATTAGTGGCCACGATATGGTGTGGAATGTAGAGGTTGTAGTGTCCACAGGACTTGCTCCTTGGATGTAACCTATACTCAATGACAAATTTTCTTGACAGCTCTGTGGAAGCTACATAACCGAAGTCTATGCCTGCTACCATGCCAAAATATAGTACTCAAGTATACTGATTATTTTTTTATTTTGACTTGTTGAAATAAATGCTGCTTTAGTCATTATGAGAATGAAACAGTGGTGGGAAGTAGTAGCTAAAATAAAGTTAATGTTCACTTTGCATGAACGCCTTCCCTTTCTTTTAATTTTTTAGACACCACTACCTTTTCAGCACGCCCATTTTGCATAGTAAACATGGCGTCTATGACATAGCGGGTCAGTGTGCAGCTGCAAACATGCTGTTTAGTTCTCAAATCAAAATATACTTGTAATACTGCATATGGCACTAAAATGTACACTGAACCGTCAAAATGTTTCTCCCATTCACATTTTCGTGTATTTAATCTTCGAAATGCCTTAACAATGTAAGCGAGCAAAACCAAAATCAGCCGCAAGTTGCAGTACTACGTGCGAAAGCCCCGCCCCCATAGCTTCACTCCAATGTCAAGATAAGCTGTTGCTGAGTACGCTACAGTATGCAGAAAAAATAGTTTGATACATCTTTTGAATAGCTGTTCATGCTTATTATGAAACATTATACACAATCTTAAAAGGGCCTGAATGTGAGCTATTTAGTAAAATACTCCAGTGAAAAAAAAAAACAGCACACAAAAAAAGCATGGACAAGGAAGGAGTTCTTCAATTGTTCCTGCTTATATTGTGCTTGCTTTTTTCCTAATATACTAAACAATCTATAAAAGAAAGCTTTGCCCGTTTATTGAAAAAATCACATTTCTTACTCACAGATGCATTGGAAGAATATTCACTTGAGGAATGCCCCAAATTTTGGGCTCCTTTGATTAAAAGTTATCAAAGCATGATGCTTTCAGAGGATACTCGCACGAAAAAATAAAATAAATAAAAATTAAGCAGCCATACAAGACTTACCAGCAAGCTTTTCTGCAATGCATCCGAGAACAACACAAATGTTTCGATGCCACGTTGGGTTGTTCCTGCCACTCAGCGAGAGCTCTCTTGAGAGTTGAAACATTTGCGACAACTTTCCCACGGATTCCTTCAAAAGTATAACGAGATCAATTAAATCAGCACAATAATGTGTGAAGCTCAAAGAATCAAAGCGAACTTGCATAAGCAATGCTATGAGAATGTCATAAAAAAAATCACGCCAGGCCTGTGCGAAAAGCGCAGCACAGTCGTAGCGAAAACTGGAAGAGCGCCATTTCTAAAACCTGTTGCTCCCTCTCTTGGGACAACTAGTATGCATGCAAAGGTACCCACAACTCCATTAATTGATTTGATGGCTGAATATGATGAAGAATTATGGCCGAGTCTTTTGTAATGCTGTGGTAGAATACTGGACTGGGACAGAACAGACCCAGGTTTAAACTTCGATTTATCCTGGATATTTTTTTTTTCTTTTTGTTTCAAGCGATAAGTGTTGTGGATGCCAGCGGTGGCAGCAGCAGCAGACAACTACGGCACCCTTGTTGCCATATCATAACAGCTTTCACTGTAAACAAAGTTTACAGAACAAGTATTTCAGAAAACTGGAAAATGAAAGGCAACATGTAACATTTCAAAAGCAGTATTAAGTTCAAGAGCAACATTTACATAACACAGTATGTTATATATTTAACTTACTATGAGCAGCTTTAGTCTGCCTGTGCTTCACTGCATCTTTCGCATTGCAAACAACCAGAAACATTCAGACAAAATGGCGATCATCAAACTATTGTTTGAATTTTATGCCTTGTAATCCACCACTGAAATCATTATACTATCATATCAAAGCAATGATCACGTCAAGTATTATGTTAATCTTCTTATAGAAGTTTCCATTACAGAGAACAAGCACCTGCTTTTAGAGCTGTTGCATGAGATTACCAAAATAGGTGCAGGGTTCTGACATAGCCCAATAGACTGCAATTCAGGAGTAGTTAACATAATTCCTCAGAAGGATAATGATAAATCTTGAATAGTATACTATATCAATTAAATCTTTTCAAAGGGGGTCGTGAAAAGGTCACTTTTACAACAATGATGCAGCATCATGGGCTAACTAAGTGACACTGGCCCAAGTAGACCTGCATGCAGACACTTTGCTTATCGTGGAATGCGCAACTCCACGGCATCTACGAGCGCGTGCAAGGGACACTCATCAGCGTATTTTCCATACGCGATTCGCTTCCCAAAAGAAAGCTGCTTAAAATGACCTCAGCTGCAGAGTTCAAATTAGCGCGGATCGCGTATGGCAAAGACGCCGATGAGTGTCCCAATTGCGCACTCGCAAGTACCATTGAGTTCCGCGTTCCTTGATGGGCAAAGTGTCCATGCAGCTCTACTCTACTTATGTTGACGTCAGCTAGTTAGTACATGTGGATGCCGGCAGTTCTGCATTGTAGTTTTAGAAGTGACTTTTTCACAACCTCTTTAAATTACATGCAAGTATACCTGCAAGCATGTATGAGGCCTTCTGTAAGAGCAGCGACTGCAAAGTATTTAACTAATTATGCAGTGCTTGCGAGACAAGCTATTAGCTTCTTTTTAAGCACAATAAAGTGTTCCCAAATCACGACATGCAGTAAAATGATGGAGCACTTGTTCGTGAGGCCTAAAATGCAGAAAATACATCTTGGTCAAGCATCTCTGCAGGAGGCATTAATGAGCCTATGAAACGATGTCTGGCTCTTGATTCATAACCATACTGAAACATCTGTCCACACACAATGAGCTCTAGAAGGTCTCTGGTGCTGTATTCATGCATGCTTCTATTGATGTGTAACCACACATCATTAGTAGTACATTTTACGGAACCGACAGCTCCTCCTCTCTTTCTCTCTCTTTCCATTCCTTACATTGCTACACACAGGCTACTGTCACGCACCTTAGTTGGTAGAGGGCAGTCATCAAGGATGAGAGTAATGACAGCTGGGCCTAAGGGGTCATCCATAGGTATGGCATTCACCATGGATCGCACGACCAAAAGCCAGCCAGATTCTTTGTCAGCTATCAGGTGCAGCTTGATCATGAATGGTGGAGGCTCCTGCTCACTGCAATTATTTTACACCGACCATTCAGTGTCTCGTGCAGTGAACTGCTTCCTCATATAAAAAGCTAGAAGCAAAATAAGCAACATCGCTATGACACAGTTTTCAACAGCCACTAGCACCACAAAAGGAAGGAAGAATAAGACAGGACATGATTCCATAAGTTTGAAGAATCTTTTTATGCGGCAAGCACTACCACAACTATATTAAATCAAACCTTTTATAAGTATATTTTAAAAGGAGTACAGGAAGTTTAAAACATAAAAGATGCCAGTGCTTACTTGTCAACCAAGGTCCGAATGATGGAAAGGGTTTCAAGGATGAGATGTTCCACGTAGCTTGTTGCAGGTGCACTTAGTGAACCTCTTGTGCCATGCCAGCTGAAAGCAGAGCTGGACCTGCGCCGCTCACTTGAGCCATCGTGAGCCTCCACAGGAAGTGAACGAGAGCTGTGTCTTCGGTGAAAGCCATATCTTCCACCTGTGCTGCCACCATCATCTACTCCTGACTTGTGGTCCCTGCAGACACAGCAGAGCAGGTTTCCCATCGTTGCTTTCGCAGCTCTTTCAAATGCTGTGTAGGCTGCTGCAGGGCCTCCACATGTCACAAGGGCAGTAGCAAAAGTGCTGGCACAGCGACAGCTGCACGAGGCTGACAAGTGTCCCTGCTGCGGTTTCCAAGGAACAGTGTGGAAGTAAACCATCTGGTGAGCCAGCTGGGTTCCACCATCACATGGTCAACTCGGGAAGATGCTGAAAGTTTCAATGAGTTCAAACAATAAACATTTCAAAGCAGCCCCTCCGAGGTACAGGTGACCACAAAATAATACAAACTACGTTAGTGCTTAGGTACAAATGACTGAGGCGCAAAAGACATATCGTGAAAAAGGGAGGAGTAGAACTGAAGAAAGAGTAGCGCCGACTACCAACTGTTTAATGACAGTCTAAAAACCTCACAGGAAAAGGAAGACATTTCCGCACATGCGACAACGTACAGCGACATAGTCAAGACAACAAGCTATTGAGAAAGCGTATTTCTGTCGAATACAACGTTATAGATGTGTCTATGATACAATTAGACTGTTTGTTTTTTTATATAAAGAATGCTTCCAAGAGCTCTCTAGCTGTTTGCTTGCTGCTCTTGTCTAGAGTCAACACTTGCGCAAAGCTTGGTTCACATCTGCAGGCATTGTAGTGCACAGAAAGAATTGCATGATCTTTTTTGCATAAGCTATTAGCATGCTCCCTCAATCTATCATTAACGCAACGACCTGTTTGTCCGATGTAGGACTTGCCGCAGCTCAGGGGTATCCCTTTTGCAGATCGCCTAAACTGTTTCGTGTGCTGCTTCTGGCAGCCCCTTGCCTTGTCACGTGTGATACGCAGGCACAATAGAGCCAACTTCTAGGGAACTGAAAAAATGACCGGAACGTCGTAATGGGTAGCGACCTTCTTGAGGTTATGGCTCACACGGTGAACATAATGGACCACCTCCGGCTTAACCCGCTCTCTTTCCTTCGCGTGCGCGCTTTGATTGGCAGCCCTGCCTTTCAACTTCTGCAGCAGGTATTCAAACATGGAAGGTACGACAGACTGAGAGAAGCTGGCCTTGGAAAGTCTTTGAAGCTCATTTGAAAACCTAGCCTGTATAGCATGTTCACAAGATCTGCGCAAGGTCAACCCCAAGCAAAGCGTAGCGATTCTGCACTTCATAGTCTTTGAGTGCACTGAGTTGTAGTGTCATAATCTTTTCTTACATCGTGGGAGGTATGCCCAGCAAATGTGATCACTCGACATTGTCAGGTTGAGGTCCAAAAACTGCAATGAGCTGTCTTACGGAAGCTCATTACTGAATGTGAGACCAGTAGTGTTTGCTTTAAAAACATCCAAAATGTGCTCAACCACCACAGGGCAAGGCAAAGGGCATCTATTGTCAATAACAACTAAATAATCATCGACATATTAAAAGACTTCAAGAACATTTGGATGAGATGAAGTAAAAGCACTTTGTAGTGCGTTGTCAAAGTACGACAAAAACAAGTCACATAATATGGGTGCTACTCCTGAACCAATGCAAATGCTCTTTTTCTGTAAAAAAAAAAAAAAGCACCAGGCCTATACAGTAGGTGCAGCGCAGTCACAGCAAAAGCTAGAAGAGTGGCCTTTCCGAGCCTTTTCTAAACACTGATTGGGTAACTGCTGCAAGCACACTTGCTGGGTACCCACAACAGCATAATTTCTGGGTGGTAGACCAACATTCGCTCTGCTATTTTTCATTATCCTTCTGAGAAGCGTGGTATCCACTAAACACTTGCAAGGAATTTAGTTCTAATTGTTCATGCAGTGGCTGATGACGATGAGGAATTATGGCTGAAGTGTATGCGCCACAGTTTATAGGGGAACAAGAACAAGCTTTTGTAATGAGCTAGAGCATCGGACGGCCCACTCATTACGCTATTCGCATTGTGCGACGACTGGTTGTTTTTTCGCTGTTTTAAAATGCTCTATAAGTCGTATTAACGCGATTCCTTTCCCATCAAGGCTGCTTAAGGCAAGTTTGCAAACAAGTCCCAAGCTGTGGCGTGGCTCAGTGGTAGAATACTGGGATGGCATGCAGCGGACTCAGGTTCGAACCCCACTGTGTCCTTGGTATTAGGATTTCTTTCTTTTTTTTTCTTATTTCGTGACAGTGGTTATGTACACTGGCGGCGGTGGCAGACAACTACAGCACCGCGTGTGACCCAAGTTTTGATCTCATAACAGCTTTCACTGTAACATGCCATGTTCAAAAGAAACAAAAGTGTGGTTGAGATAGGCTTTGAAAAGGGCACTGGAGTTCTCAGTCAACATCTCTGTTTTAGTCACAAAAGTGGCTTCGCCACTTTCACCAATACACTGCTTAACCACTCGTAGTAGCTTTGGCTGCAGAACCGAGTAAACAAGTAATTTGCGTCTACAGAAAAGAATTAGTCTTTTTTCTGGCTTCCGCTGAAAAACTTAAATACTTCATCAGAGTTTTTTTGTCAAGAAAGGGTCATGAAAATCAAGAAGTCTTAGGGCTTTCAGCAAAATACTGCTAACCTTATATTTCCATGTGCCACACTCACTAATAATAGTGCGGAAAGGGACATCTGCTTTATGTGTCTTCACAATGAAGAAAGCAGCAAGGGAATCTGTTTTGCTCTTGCTTATCTGTTTAGCTAAAGTTTCACTCCTAACTTCATCACACCAAGAAATCACAGCAGCTAAGCAGTGCATGCATTGATGAAATCGACAAAGCCAGTTTTGTGACTGAAATGGAGGTGTCATCTGAGAACTTTGTTACCCTCTTAGAAGCCTATCTCAACTACCTTTTCGTTTCTTTTGAACATGGCATGTTTTTCCAGAAAAAGGGCATTTACATTGGTTCACGAGAAGCACTCATATTATGTAACATTTTTTTGTCGTACTTTGACCACGCACTACAAGTGCTTTTACTTCATCTCATCTGAATGTTCTTAAAGTCTTTAGATAGGTCGATGATTATTTAGTTGTGCCTTTTGCCTTGCCCTGTGATTCTTGAGCACATTTTGGATGTTTTTAAAGCAAACACTACTGGTCTCACATTCAGTAATGAGCTTCCGTAAGACAGCTCATTGCAGTTTTTGGACCTCAACCTGACAATTTCGAGTGATCACGTTTGCTGTGCATACCTCCCACGATGTAAGAAAAGATGACACTACAACTCAGTGCACTCAAAGACTATGAAGTGCAGAATCGCTATGCTTTGCTTGGAGTTGGCCTTGCACAGATCTTGTGAACATGCTATTCAGGCTAGGTTTTCAAATGAGCTTCAAAGACTTTACAAGGCCAGCTTCTCTCAGTCTGTCGTAACTTCTATTTTTGAATACCTGTTGCAGAAGTTGAAAGGCAGGGCTGCCAATCAAATCGTACACGCGAAAGAAAGGGAGCGGGTTAAATCGGAGGTGGTCCATTATGTTCACTGTGTGAGCCATAACCTCAAGAAGGTCGCTACCTGTTACGACATTCCGGTCGTTTTTTCAGTTCCCAAGAAGTTGGTTCGATTGTGCCTGCGTATAACACGTGACAAGGCAAGGGGCTGCCAGAAGCAGCACACGAAACCGTTTAGGCGATGCGCTCAAGAGATACCCCTGAGCTGCGGCAAGTCCTATATCGGACAAACGGGTCGTTGCATTGATGATAGATTGAGGGAGCATGCTAATAGCTTAGGCAAAAGAGATCATGCGATTCTTCCTGCGCACTACAATGCCTGCAGATGTGAACCATGCTTTGCGCAAGTGTTGACTCTAGACAAAAGCAGCAAGCAAACAGCTAAAGAGCTCTTGGAAGCATTCTTTATATATAAAAAAACAAAGGGTATAATTGTATCATAGACACATTTATAATGTTGTATCATAGACACATTTATAACGTTGTATTTGACAGTCGCTGTCCTTCCTCATTTATTCCTCCTCCTTGTATTCGACAGAAATGCTCTTTCTTGATAGCTTGTTGTCTTGATCATGTCGCTATAGGTCATTTGTTGGCTGTTCACGCATGCATAGAAATATATTTCTTCCTGTGCGGTTTTTAGACTGCCATAAAATAATTGGTAGTTGCCACTGCACTTTCTTCTGTTCTGCTCCTCCCTTTTTCAGGGTATGTTTTTTGAGCCTCAGTCATCCCTACCTAAACTAGTTAAGCACCACCTCGCCCAAAAAGATGTCCTTTTAGAGTATGTTAGTATGTGCTGAACTTTTTGTCTGGACTGTCTATTGGCGAACCATCTGCTGTCAAGAGCACTGCTGTGGCTGCATATAAGCCACAGCAATGCAATTGACAAAGGATGGCTCACCAGTAAAGCGCACAGATGGCATGTGCTTGTGTGGTTTGCATTATTTTGTGGCCGACTGAACTGTTAAATTTAGAGATAGCTCTCAGGTAAAAATGAACTGCACCAGGGCCAATTTCCATCCAGCTATGCAAACAGCAGATTTTTCTTCAGTCTTTTTGGGATACACATATGAGCATATACACAGCCACTGTTGAAACTTTATATACAGCACAAAATAAATACATTTTAAAGAAATGTATGAAACTGTGAGGTTATGAAAGAAGGTTACAAGGGCTTATCAATTTATGAACCTCACAATTGGGTTCTATGCCAGGAAACAGTAGGCGATCACATTAGTTTTGATTAAGGACTTGGAAGCAACCATGATCGGCAAAGTTACAAAAGGCTCTAGCATTACGGCGATAATTAAAAATAGCACGTGATATGTCAGAACACACAATTGCAAAAATCACTCAACTTTTCAATGCACACTAACAATGCAAGGACATTAACTTTTTGTGTTTCTAAATACCTTTGTAACTAACCATTGTGTACATTCATGAGAAAAATTTCATGTGGCATAGCAACAACAAAGAAAGTGAAGGTATATGGAAAGGGCAAAAATAAGGTAAATCCCCTTTTTGTGAACATCAAACTTGTTGGCCATGAGTCCCCATGGTATATAGGACAAATTTGTCATTCTTTTGAAGGGATATCAGACAAAATCCAACATATGAAATTGTACACAGTTGCTTGGCAGTAACGATGCACTCTAGCGCACTAGATGGTCTTAAGGGCGGCAGTGGTTGCTTTCGTTATTTCATGGCTTATGCAACATATATTCCTGATAATATCCTCGCACCTTTCTTGCTCGGCCGGCTCCTACAACTACTGCTTCTGCATGCTTGCATATCGGTAGCCTTTCATAGCTTAACATGACCACTTAACTAGCCTGCATTACCCAGACATGGAAGACTCTATGTCTGGGCTGCCCTCGCAAAACTTTCACATGCACAGGTATAAGTTGGCCGTAAAAGCAATGCACAGTAGCTTTTGGGTGTTTAAACTACAGTTTTAGATTTTGGAGGACCTAAAAATTTTTCAATTTTATAAACTTTCTCATTTATTGTAATAAATTATCACTTTGTTCAAATATGTTTCAACTAAAATCGCAGGCTTGTCTAGTACATATATATATTAATGAAGCAAGAATAGAGCTAACATCATAGAAATATATACTATTCAAAGTTGCTTTCGGGAGTGTTAGAGCTATAATTACACCCATCCAATCCCACACTTCACTCACATATGGCTTTTTTTTACACTTCAAATTTGAGCTCACTACGAAACTAAATTGACTTTGGCTGTCTTATCTGGCATGTCATTCGCATTTAAATAAGGACAGACATTGCTTCCCACGAAAAATTACGAATGCGACAAGTCTGTGATGGCTATTTCAAACACCTTTTTTGTTTTCCTGAACTACTATTGTTTCGAAAGTGTCAAAAGGTTCTTGACGTACGGATGGGCAGGAACAAAAGCGCAGGGATTTCCGAGACTGCAAAGCAAGATCCCCTTGACCGACATTCTTCCTGATGTAAATTAATCAATAAGAATGGAGCAGTTATGCGTCAGTCTTTCGGAGACATCGAGAAATAATCAGGAAAGCACTCACTGTAAACTGATGACCTCAACAAACCCTACGACCCATTCTACCACCGTGTGCGTGACTGAAGGCAGAGCTGAGTTCAGATGTATTATTTCATAACCGACTTGCCTCCGTCTTTGACAGCCAGCGGCACATGTGGAGAAAAAATTCACAACAAAAGATTTACAAGCTAAGCACTTTGCCAGAAACAGATATTATTACGATGTTGGAGCCGCAATTCTTGATAACCATGTACCGGAATCCAGTTTCGGGTACAGGTTATCTTTCGCGGCCGCAGATACTAGCGCACATAAAGTATGACATTACCGTTCAAATAAAACGCGATATATTTCACGGCCGCACCGTCAAACAGCCAAATGAAACAGTTATTATGTTTTCAATACACTCTAGGTGGAATGACCAAAGAACGTTTGCAATTAAACAGAAGTATTTCCCCTCGAGACGATGCGAACGAGACGAGAATCGTCCAACGAGCTATCAGCAGCACGTACATTATAAGCACTAAACTGAAGTTTAGAACACAACCTAAAACGACAGTGATCATGCAAAAAAAAAAATGCTCTTCAGTGCATAATTTACCTGGAACAATCATGTAAACACTAGATGTCAATGCCTCCTCCGGTCCGCCATCAGCCCCAGCTAGTGTAACCAACGTTTCTAGAACTAGGTAAGTTGCAAAACTCCCCGCGTCAGACGACCCGTCACACGGTGCCAAGACAACTTTCGGTTTGGTGGTGCTGGCGGCGCAACAAGCTTTTGCTAGCAGACGAAAACGCGCAGTCGTCGTGGCAAAACCAAGGAGGATACAAAAAACGCAAGTTTTATGTATCGTTTTTTGTATCCTCCTTGGGCAAGACGCCGTGGCGGCCGTTCTGAAAGAACTTTGCAAACAATATATTATTGGGATTTCTTGTTGTGCTGCCGCAGAAACTTAATACTGCGTACTGCTTAGCAGTGTAAGGCAAATACAGTACAATTATGGCTTTCTGAACTGCCCACGATAAACAATGCTTAATAGCATAACATACAAGTTTGTCCATTAGTTGCTAGATGGTGTACCTTCGCAATCAATATTTAGGCGTGAAAAACACAGTTACAATGTCTTGTATCCTCTCTTTTCTATCTCCACTAGAAGTTCGACCTAATGGGTGATGGTATCTGCATTGCCGGGCGACTTGGCTAAGCAATGGCTGCTAATGGTGACTGTCATGTTGTCTGCGACGACTATGCATTTATTCACAAATAGTGCTCTTTTTTCTTCTTTGAGCCCTAGAAACACCACAAGACGTCTTGTCTTGCCATTCTCAACAACTTTCCGCCAGCATTTAGCAGGCAAACAAACGTTTTCTATGTCCTGAAGCGAAATTATGACGTCACTTGCTGACGGCATGTCAAAACTTACATTTCACCGTCTTTGAGCTCAGTGCTCGGAGGTAGTCTATTCTTTCTCACCGATAATATTCTTGAAAGTACCCCACTCCTATCGGGCAGCTTTCGCTTCTTTGTCATGGTTTTTGGAAGGTAAGCGCGCAAATTCGGGAATATGCGTAAAACGCATCCTTCGACGAGGTCCCCCTTTCCTCTGGTGATTTGTACCTTCTTACTATTGATGACGTGAGTGAAAGTCTTCAGGATCGATGTCCTCCTCATGAAAGTGCATATCACACACACGTGATGTGTTGGGCAGTTTCTTATCCGCACGAGGAATAGTGCGGTTCCATGCCTCTCGCTGCTCAGGTACACACGGTGCACAAAATAAATGTCGTGGTGTTTCTCATTTCCTGTAGCCACTCGTACAACCGGGAACGCAACATGTGGGTATGATGAAAACACGCAACACATTCAAACCAGAACATGGCACGCTGAAGCACAAAACTGTTCACGCAGAAAGAAGCCCTGCAACATCCACAGCCGACGGAGGTTACGGGAGTGACATGAGCCAGCAATGCCCAGCATGCAATGAATGAATCAGGATGCGACAGCAGCGCCACATTTGTCGCTGGCAGTGATGGCGCCGCGCAACATCGCTTAGTTTTCCAACTTACTTTGTTCTAGAAACGTTCACTGTAACAGCGTCAAAGGTTTAGCAGGCGCACTTTCGTAGAAATAAAAGTGCGCCGTTTTCATGTTCTTTGTAGTAACAGCAATTAAATGACGTTCTGCCCAATGAAATTTTTTGTAATGGTAACGCAATTGTTATAGTACGCAGTGAACTGCACTGTGGGAGCACATTACTTTATGGTACCACGCCCTCCCTTTTGGCCTGAGGTTCGGGTTGTTCGGGACAGAAAGAGAGGAAGGTAAGAGCACGCGGGCAAGAGTTTGGCAAGGGAAGTGTTTCTGTTCCCCCGGTGGCACGAACCATTTCGAGGCAAAACGGTTCGGTTCACCCAATAGCCGCTTAAAACCGGCTTGACTTGGCTTAAAGTGTATGAATACATGGCGTTAGAATCGGTGTGTTAAAAAACGCTTTTCAGGCGATTTGGGCGTTCTTTATTCTGTGGTTCAGGTAGAGTTCCTCACTAGCTTGTGACACACAGTCTGTGGCTGGTTCATCGTATTCTAGTCGTGATGTTTTTTTCTCCGGTGTTGGTGTTGGATTGGACTGTAATCTGTTTGAAATGGCGAGAACCGCCTCTGCCCGTGGGGTCGTGGTCGCTTTCTGTTGTTAGAAAGTGATTCATACGCAAGTCGCTGCCGCTTTTCTTAATTCCTGGGATGTCGCCGTGCTTATCGAGCAGTTAACGTCATTCGCCCGAAGCACAGAAATAACAACTACCAGCCCGAAGTGTTTGCCACCAAATCTACAAGCAATGACCACGAGCATAAAATAAAGGCCTTTGGAACGCGATTTGTGAATATTGGTCTGATGCATGTACTACGCGGATGTATGGTAGGTGCATGCGTGTTGCTTGAGGACCGATCAAACAGCTGGTGTCACTTGGGAGGAAGTATGTACATACTGTGCCAACGCTTACATTGAAGCTTGTTCTCGCGTAAGTGCGCGAGATAGATACGGAATGCACAAGTTGGAATTAGAGAACGTTCTTGTCCGAGTGGCTTTATTAAGCAGTCGCAGATGATGGCAATTTGTTTGCTTAGCAGTGTGTGTTTAGATTGGGGTAACCAACAGTGAAGGTAGTTGTGTGTGGGTGAGGAAATTAGTTTTCTTTGTTGCGGTGCCTTCCAAACAAATCCGTTATTTCTTCTCTTCATTGCGTCGGTCTCTTGATGTGGCACTAAATTTTGCTCTGTGCTCTTCGTGACACTTCCTCTCGCTCTAGAATGCTCTAGTAAAAGTTGACGCTAAAGTTCAGCTGAAGTGTTTAAAGTTCCTTGCAGCTAACCACAGCAACATTTCTTTGTCTATGTGATCAGACGGACGCTCGTTACTTGGCATGCCTTTTATAACGCAAAACGTTTCTTTTTTTTTTAATTTACTGAACAGTCCGGAAAAAATCGGGGACATTTGTCCCAACTGGGACAGCGCGGGCAAAGTCTTGGACAGTCCAGCGAAATTCGGGACGACTGGTAACACTAGTTTAGGCAAGTGTATAACAATGAAAAAAATGTAATAAAATAGAAATTTCATTGCTGGGAGCATTGTCGAGCTTCAATTGCTAACCCGTAAAGGTCTTTTTAAATGTTAACATTGCCGCAATACACCAGTGTCATGGGGTGAAGTGCTTGCAGTGTATTGCAGTAAAGCATACATTATGCGCGCGCGTGTGTGTGTGTGAAATGGAAGCGTAGCACTGCTATTAGGCCTAATGCGATGCGCCGTGCTTTGTATCATTACTGGACATGCGACAGACGGCATCAGCACCAACTTCAACCTTTGTAAAAAGTCCATATGTTGCCCCCATAATTATTTTTTTAATTGTGGCAAGTGATTCACACTGCAGTAAACTTCTAGTATATCGCATGAATAATTTAAAATTGTTGCATGACCCCTAATAAAGAAGTGAAAGATACCTGTGACAAACTCCTTGGTACTCCAGATTTTGTGCCATCAGATATGTGCTCTAAAATGAAAATGATCATTATTAGTGAAATATATACTCAGGCTAGGTATTGAAGACGATTGTGCATGTTTTGCAAATTTCCTTTTAAAAGCTCATGCTTCACTTTATCGGGCTTTTTTTAGTTATTAAGAAAAATAGCTCCCCAAGAATGGTCTAAAATTAGACACACAGTTTGTCATGGGGCAAGTTGAGCTTAGCAAGAAAATGATTTATGAAAACCATTCTGTCGCATAACTAAGAGCAAGCTGGTTTCAGGAAACATGTTGACCTGAGATGATGGCACGTGTTCACACATCTTACAAAGGCTGCTTGTTGTTATAATGTGGCTGTAATTGGACAAATGTCTGTCATCAGGTGTGGAGATACATAGCATCTCTGATGATCAAATTTTTAAAGAATAGGTTTTCAGGGGATGCTAAAAACTTTTTTGAAGGGTTGAGCATTAGAGAGCATTACTTTATTGAAGTCTCCAATTTCATTAGGTTAGCACTGAGGCTTGCAGGTATGTTAAATGAGCATGGTCACTTGAGTAACACTCAGAGGTCAATAATTATAGGGTGAACAGCAAGGTATGTATGAATCAGGATTATGCAAATTGCAGAAATAGACATAATGAAGTTGTCGAGAAGACTTTGTTAACAGTACATTTACAGGCTTCATGCAGAATTTGCTTTCCAGCAGGGTGCATTTACTTTCACTGATGCTTTCGATGGCATCATTGCAGTTCATAAGCACTGGTTTTACGGACTGCACGTGATGATCTTGTTTTTTCAAGGTTCATGTACTGATTAAAAAGTATAGGATCAAGAAACTTACATGCTGTCTTAAGGCATAATCAGGCTCACCATAGAGGTAAGTGATGAGATTTTAGTGAGTTGTATGTGGGAGGTCTGTGTACATAACATCATAGTAATCTTGCAATGCTGTAGCTTTATTTGTGTAACGAGTGAAGCTTCTTTTCCTGTTAAAAATTTCTGCCGAGCATACAAGTTCCAACAGCAGGATTGGCCCTTGGACAAAACAGGTGGTAAGAGTGAGCTCGATCCCAAGCCCTTTGAGAGTACCCACTGAAGGAACTAGTAACTATACGGCAAAAATTCTAGTGCACCAAGAAGGGCAAGGGAGGACGGTGCAGGTTAACATTTCAGGAGGGCATCTTCTGGACATCATCCTTCTCTAGCCACAAGCTTGTATGGCCAATGTTTAGCAGACTCCTACTAACATAAACTAGGTATAAATGTTGCTTCTCTATTGCAAGATGACACACCATATACCTTTTGAGAGTCTCCTCACCACAAGCCCTTACATTAGCCTAAAAATATTTTTTTCTACGGTGCCCTTTTTTTGTCCTAAACAGTTGTCTGAAGCAACAATATGCACATTGTGACAGTCTAGCTGGTGACCACAGAGATGGCTCCCGCCATCACGATGTATACTCCACTCAATATGTAAGACACTGTCAAATCATAGTCCGGTGTGCGTGCATACGACCTTGGACATGCAAGCAGTGACCACTTCTCTTGTGTTCTCTGCACTGGCGAATGCTTGTTGCACACCTATTCAAGATTGTGACAGTGAAATTAGTTCTGGCAATGCTGTCTCAGAGGTAAGACTGTGTACGCCCTT